GTACAATAGGTAGAACTCCAGTGTGCTATGAGAAGCGAACAAATGAATTATGATTAAATCAACACTGAACATATATATACTCACACAAACAACAGACAGTCATGTCAATTAAGTCACTGACATATAGTGACCTTCACCCTGCATGCAAGTGTGTCAAAATCGACAAAACCTTAAGTAAAGAATTAATCTGAATGGCCTCTCAAAGTTTACTCTTTCACTTATCCTACTGTGTTTAAGCTTTACATAGGAACACTGGGGCCTTTTGTCAGAGTTTAAATGGAGAACGAACAGACCGAAACATGGAAAAAAGCCAAATTAACAGTTTACCAATAACATCATTTCACATGTCAGGATTGTTTTGACCTTCAAAAGTGATCAAATATATATATACAAATGAAACAAGAAAATCAGAAGCAAAGATTTTCACTATATTCTGAAGTATTTGTATTCACACATCACTATTTCACATAATTGCAATATTCAAATCAATTTGTGATACTGACATCTAGTCATAGTGATGTAAGGTGGACATATTTTTAATTAAAATATGTGTTGTTTTATTTTCATAGGTATTTGCGCCATTGCAGGATGTATTTGTCCTTTTCTGTTACAGTAAATCTGTGTTATGGAATCTCAGATATCTATACCACCATACCGTGTTTTACTGACCCACGGATTGTCGTCTATACCATCATTCTGTGTTTTACTGACCCACGGACTGTCGTCTATTCCATCTTTCTGTGTTTAACAGACCCTCCAACTGTGGTCTATACCATCATTCTGTGTTTTACTGACCCTCGGACTGTCGTCTATACCGTCATTCTGTGTTTAACAGACCCTCGGACTGTGGTCTATACCATCATTCTGTGTTTAACAGAGCCTCCAACTGTCGTCTATACCATTATTCTGTGTTTAACAGACCCTCCAACTGTGGTCTATACCATCATTCTGTGTTTTACTGACCCACGGACTGTCGTCTATCCCATCATTCTGTGTTTAACAGACCCTCGGACTGTTGTCTATACCATCATTCTGTGTTAACAGACCCTCGGACTGTGGTCTATACCATCATTCTGTGTTTACAGACCCTCGGACTGTCGTCTATACCATCATTCTGTGTTAAACAGACCCTCGGACTGTCGTCTATACCATCATTCTGTGTTAACAGACCCTCGGACTGTCGTCTATACCATCATTCTGTGTTTAACAGACCCTCTGATTGTCGTCTATACCATCATTCTGTGTTTAACAGACCTTTCAACTGTCGTCTATACCATCATTCTGTGTTTTACTGACCCACGGACTGTCGTCTATACCATCATTCTGTGTTTAACAGACCCTCTGATTGTCGTCTATACCATCATTCTGTGTTTAACAGACCCTCGGACTGTCGTCTATACCATCATTCTGTGTATAACAGACCCTCGGACTGTTGTCTATACCATCATAACACACACCATTGTACCACCAATAATCGACTTTGCTTGTTTAAAATATCAGTCATCAAGTATGGGGAGCTATTCATGCACTGTATGCATCAATTATTAATGAAGTACTCATATTTTAGTTTACTAGTGTTTGCTTGGATTGAATTGTCAATAAACACAAGGATTAGAATGAAACACAATGTATATCTGAAGTAAACCCGAGCTGTCCCACCAACACCCAGAGATAGATTTCAAATTATAAATTGATGAAGTGTTTTTATTTATAACATATGGACATAAATATAGACACTGTCTGATCTACAACGTCAACTTTGAATGTTAACACATCAAGGACTTTAAGCTTATCATTTCAAAAACTGAATTTTTTAAAAAGAGCAAGTCAATAAAATTGGAATAGTTATAAATGCATTCGCAAATACATTCTCTTCAGGGTTTTTTCTTTTCAATCCACAACCAATTACATAATGCATCATGATCTAAGGGAAACTTCAACAATGTCAATGACAGTACCACACAAGCTCTCACAAAAACGGAACAAAAAATATAACCTGCTATATTCTCTAGGCGCTATGAAGGACTGAAAATGGTATTTAAAAAGCTTTACTTCTGTAGTAAAAGTGGCACATACAATAATGCTATTCAGGATAATGACCTTTAATATCAAGCAACGGTAGTCTTTGACTACTCATTATGACCTTGGACTTCTCATTATGACCTTGGACTACTCATTATGACCTCAGACTACTCATTATGACCTCAGACTACTCATTATGACCCTGGACTACTCATTATGACCTTGGGCTTCTCATTATGACCTTGGCCTTCTCATTATGACCTTTGACTACTCATTATGACCTCAGACTACTCATTATGACCTCGGACTTCTCATTATGACCATGGACTTCTCATTATGGCCTTGGACTACTCATTATGGCCTTGGACTACTCATTATAACCTCAGACTTCTCATTATGCCCTTGGACTACTCATTATGGCCTTGGACTTCTCATTATGTCCTTGGACTACTCATTATAACCTTGGACTACTCATTCTGACCTTGGACTACTCATTATGACCTTGGACTTCTCATTATGACCTCAGACTACTCATTATGACCTCAGACTTCTCATTATGACCTTGGACTTCTCATTATGACCTTGGACTACTCATTATGACCTTGGACTTCTCATTATGACCTCGGACTACTCATTATGACCTCGGACTTCTCATTATGACCTCGGACTACTCATTATGACCTTGGACTTCTCATTATGACCTTGGACTTCTCATTATGACGTTGGACTACTCATTATGACTTGGACTTCTCATTATGACCTTGGACTACTCATTATGACCTTGGACTACTCATTATGACCGTGGACTTCTCATTATGACGTTGGACTACTCATTATGCCCTTGGACTTCTCATTATGCCCTCGGACTACTCATTATGACCGTGGACTACTCATTATGACTTGGACTTCTCATTTTGACCTTGGACTACTCATTACGACCTTGGACTACTCATTATGCCCTTGGACTTCTCATTATGACGTGGGACTACTCATTATGACCGTGGACTTCTCATTATGAACTTGGACTTCTCATTATTACCTTGGACTACTCATTATGACCTCGGACTACTCATTATAACCTCGGACTTCTCGTTATGACCTTGGACTTCCCATCATGACCTTGGACTACTCATTATGACCTTGACAAAATACCTTTAAAGAATACATGACAGAAGTGTTTGGTTATATAAACCAAGTTATCAACAGCGAGACAAGTAAAACAAATTGTGAGCTTGACTGTCAGGGAAAAGGTCCAGCAAATCAAAGGTGTGCCATGTCTGTCTAAAAATTGTGTATATGGAATAATGTTTCATTAAAATATCTTCACTGGTTCAGAATCAAAGCTATGCTCAAGTAAGTAATATCAATGGATGGAGTGATACACAGTAGATGGGAATGACAGATATAGAAACATTGATAGTCAGTAAGATGGGTTTGATGTGTACCCTGCTAGTTATTTCAAAAACAACTATAAGGGATAATTAAAGAAAATTTTCAGCATGTCTAATACAAGAAAATAATAATAACAAATCTTCAACTATTTGATACAGTGAAATATTGCCAAAAAACAACAGGAATCATATTGTTTGATAAAACTGTGTCCTGATGAATAACTAACAACACAGTTTGTGGAGTTTCTACGGCACTACAATCCGTACCCACTCCTATGTACCAAGAGGCCAGCAATGGAAAAGACAATTCACAATGTTTTTCAGTTAACAAAGTTATTGAGTACAACTAATGTAAAAAGAATAATGTAATCTCGGAAAGTATTGAAATCAATGTCTGATATGGAAAACTACTTGTGTACTTTGTAAGCTCACTCTCCACTTTATCAATTTAAATTTCTATAATAATCTCTTGTACATGTACTACATGATGTAATTGTTTGATATTTAACTTATGAGTCGGCTGGCTCTCGGAAATAAAGAAACTGAAATTAAAACATTGTTATCAATCATATTCACATGCATGTTATCAATTGAATCCTATGACATCTATCTGATTCACATGTTATCAATTGATTCCTATGACATCTATCTGATTCACATGTTATCAATTGATTTCTATGACATCTATCTGATTCACATGCTATCAATGCTATCAATCTAGGGTTCGATTCACTGATCGGACGTGAAAAGTTAAGGGGTCACCTGCCCGACCAGCTGGGTTTTCTTTGGTACTCCGGTTTCCTCCCACATTAAGACCCCTGCACGCTGACATCCGGGCCAACAAGAAAAGAGCAATTATTGTAAGCTGAAATAACTTGTTTCATAATTGTTGTAAAATAAGAAGTTTAATTTTTATATAAAATTAGATTAATATAAAATATATTCATTTCACATGATGTCAATTGGATTCACATTATATATATATATCTGATTCACATTATATATGTATATATCTGATTCACATATTATATATATATGATTCACATTAGATATATATATCTAATTCACATTATATATAGTCTCATAGGTAATAACGACAGTATGATCCAATATTGGCACTGGATCCAAACAAACAATTAAATGTTTGTTTAATGATTCACATTATATATGTATATAGCTGATTCACATCTGATTCACATTATATATATATATATATATATATACTTATTCACAATATATCTTGTATATGTGACAATGAATGTCTGCCCAATAACAATGTTACGTCACCAGTAACTGTTTGATCAACACCTAAAAACCAGAAATGGCCACATAGTTAAGGAATACACATGAAGCCACATAATATGCCCAGAACTTGCCCATACCTCCTGTTCAGCACTGATAACTACCCTCTGTTTACACAGAGTATAATACATGTATACTGAATCTATCAGATATGTTTATTGGCCATCTTTCTTGCTAATAACCATTAATGCCTTGTATTATTTTGTCTATAACCTGAATATCTTAATACAGTATATCTAAAGACCCGTAATTAGTAAATTATACATATATCTCAAAAAAACTTACCTACACACCTCTAAACAAGTAGATTGTCACTGAACAGTTTGATTGACGCTGTAAGTCCTTCCAATTAATATATATCCACAGGTAGAAATGTTACAGTAACGGTTACAGGTGTAGGGCTGACATTTACAACTATCCACAACCTGTGTTCAGTGTCATGTGGGCTTTAAATGTCCAGCCCCGACAGTATCAGCGAGTCCTATTATACAGGTATGCTGTAGGTGTTAGCCTGCTCTACCCACTTCCTTACCTGGTCGTGGGTGCGAGGGACCCTGAATGCGGTCAACGTACCCTGCCAGTTTAGGTAGAGATCAATGAGAAACAGCATAAATTGGCAGTAGGCACCACAAAAGATTAACAAATTACCTCTAGGTAATAGATATTCATAAAGCTTATTTCTTCACATTATCCTGAGCTCCCTCAGGGATTAGTGGTCTGGATTATAGTACTGATATAAGTACCGTAATAACTCTATTATTAATCCCCATTTCCCTCATAACAAAATTAATGTAATAACAGCACTCTTTTCATAGAGAAATTATGATTACATAAACTGTTTAATTATATTTTTATAATTAACATTGAAATTTTATACTAAAACTTGATATTTCTATTTATATAATTTCACAATAAATGTTATTTAATTGTTTCTATAATTGGTAATATGACATTTTCTTACAGTTAAGTATTAACAAGCAAATTCATGGAATTTATACCCTTGCTGTAGGTTAACATTATTGAGGTTATAGGTTTAAACATGTGAGTATTGTGCTGCTGAGACATAATGTATAGCTTAAAACTTGAAGAATAAAAAAAAGCCCTGATACCTCATTGATTATCCGTAAATATGCACAAATCACAATGGTTGGCAAACTTAGCATGAGTTTGATGTGCATAAGGAATTTGGTTGAAACATCTTAAAAATATCTACAGCAATTATCACATGAAAACCTAAGTGTGCCCGAGGGAATTTGAAGAAATTTGGCTAATATTTGCTAGAGTTATTAAGCGGAAACTGCAGATAATGACGTTTTTCTTTAATCAAGAGGCCATAACTCTGCCAAATAGAGTCCAACCCTGTTACTTAGTTTTAAGACAATTGGATAATATTTGCGAGAGTTTGGTCTTCGAACTTAGCCGAGCCATTAAGTCATTTAACCCTGTGACCAAGTTTGAAAAAAATTGGTTAACAGTTATTGCACGTAAACGAAGCGCAGCAGATAATGACGTTTTTTCGTTAATCAAGGGGCCATAACTCTGCCAAATGGGGTCGGCTGAAAGTGGTCAAAGAACTTGGCCGAGCCTTAAAGGCATTTAACCCAGTGACCAAGTTTGAAGGAAATTGGATAAATTTGTTGCAGTTATTGCAAGGAAACGAAGCGTGACATGACAGACAGACAGACGGAAAACCCCAAAATAATACCCCCCGTTTCGGTGAAAACGGGGGATAAAAAGTTTATTACTGAACATACTTCTATAAATCCCATATAAAACATCAGTGAGACCCATACTCGTTACCAAGCAAGGACAAACTAAAATGTCTGCACTTCCTTAGAAATGGTAGAAGGAAGAGATGGGGAAGATCTCTAAACCAGATTTTTTTTTTTTTTTTTTTTTTAAATCTCAATTGAAGGCTTTTCAACTTGCACTGTCAGCTTTAAGAAAGCCACACAGCAGAGCTGGGAGTGAGCCGTCCCATAGACTATTGGTGTAGGTTGTACAGGTTTAGATCCCACAGAAAGCAGGATGTAGCTGTATCCTTGAGGACCATAGTTTAAAACTACAAACTTTAATGATAATGATTTATTGTTATTTTACTGTTTGATAATTATGTAATGGATAATAAATCATAGTCTGAAGTTCACTTGTTTATTGATTCGTTGTAGGTTGTTCCGATAGCTTTGGCATTTGTATGGGCGGATTAGTTGAGTGGTTAACACTCCAGCCTTCCAAACAGGTAGCCGGGGTTCGATCCCCTAAGTCGCTGTACGCATGGAATATTCAGAGAAAGTGTTTTTCACCTGCCCACACAACTCCAACAACCCAGGTGGAGTATAAAATGGTCTGGGGTGGGTTTTGTGGTATCTGTGCTGTAGCATTAAAGTGAAGTGGCACTACATTGTATAAATGATACAGTTGGAAGCACGGTCCCACTACAAACAGAACACAATACATCTCCAACACACACGCAGGCATACACACATAGGGAGAAATTAGCCAGGTGACATAGGACTAGTAGTTAGCACCTGATAGGGCAGCTCCTGTGAATTCCTCAATATTGTATCGATTAATATATATATATATATGCTAATTGTATTGACTGTATACAATTGTATATCTATGTACTGTAAAGCGCTTTAGAGTGGCCTATGTTAGCTAGATAGAGCGCTATAACAAATGTTGTATATTTTATTTATTTATTTTATAGACCAGCTATTGGATGAATTAAGATACAGTTCCCTTGGTGCTGAATTCACCTACCTAGAGTGGAGTATGATATGATCTGATTATTAAATCAACCAAAGGGAACTCAAGTTATCCCAAGGAAACCTTGTTTCGGACGAAGCAGCCGCCGCCGCCGCCGCCAAAGTAATACCTATATGTCGCCTCACATTGCAGGCAACACAAAAAGCATGATCATGTGGAAAGTTGAACTAGAATAAGGCCACTCCCATACTCTCATGATGGTGTTAAAATACATATCCTTCTGTCAATCCTTGAATATTAGCCCATTAAAGTAATTTCCTTAAAAAAGCTGCATAAAATGAAAGAAATTATAGAAATTATGACATAAATTGAAGAACCTAACCCAATATGAAGCATTTAAACAGTGAATACCTAATACAAATAATATCCATATCGGCTTTCATTTCATCAAAAGACCAGTTATCACATATTCCACACAAATTCTCAGTCAGAATGCATGAAATCGGATATGAATATATATGTACCCACTTGAAACACAGAGGTAGCTACTGTACATTGTTATATCTAACACTGATATGTCCGGGACAATGGCAATTGTTTTATTCTCATAAACAATACAGTGTAGAGAATGTAAAGTAACAAAACAATCCAATCCCATTGTTTACCATTTTACTAAAAGGGTCTACATTAAACCTGGAAATAATCAAATAATTATTATATAAATGAGTTCTGATCTTTTTTCAATACTTGTTTTTGTTGATGGTGATACAAGATATGCATGAATACAGTATCCCATTATTATTGTCAATGTTGACAAAATAACATTAAAAACTTCGGAACAAATTTCATACTTCAGAAAGTTTTGATAGTTTCTTGCTTCAAGTATTACTTATCCTTACGGAAAAATAATTACATAGTTAAGTGTTTTATTCCATGTTGAAGGTGATTAGTTTATCTCTATATACAGTACTTGGTACTATAATCTCAAGGCGTCTCTGTGAAAAACCATGTCAACCTCAATGTAGTGCGTAAACAAAGTGTTGTTCTGTCAATATCTCAACACCTGAGTAACTCGAGGGCGGGGCAGGTCAGGTTGGGGACAAATACAATGAGCAAACACAGGGACAGGGTCCCCTCCCTCTCTAACCCCTCACACATGCTCATGTAAATAAAAAAGCACAGGCACAACGTTTCCTCCCTCTGTCCACTCACACAGGCATAGGTAAACATTAAACACAGAGGAAAGGTACCCTCCCTCTGACCCCTCACTGAGGCTCAGGTAAACATTAAACACAGAGGAATGGTACCCTCCCTCTGACCCCTCACTGAGGCTCAGGTAAACATTAAACACAGGGGAAAGATCCTCTCCCTCTGAGCCATCACACAGGCTGTGGTAAACATTAAACACAGAGGAAAGGTACCCTCCCTCTGACCCCTCACTGAGGCTCAGGTAAACATTAAACACAGAGGAAAGGTACCCTCCCTCTGACCCTTCACTGAGGCTCAGGTAAACATTAAACACAGGGGAAAGGTACCCTCCCTCTGACCCCTCACACAGGCTCAGGTAAACATTAAACACAGGGACAAGATCCCCTCCCTCAGACCCCTCACAAAAGTCCAGCCAAACAATGAATAAACCCACAAGGTCCCCTCTTTTGTTCCCTTACACAGGTCCAGATATAAGCAATGAATAAAAACAGGGACAAGGTCCCCTCCCCCCTCTGTCCCCTCACATAGGTCCAGGTAAACAATGAATAACAAGAGGCCCAATGGGCCTGCATCGCTCACCTGGTATTAATCTCACAATTGTAAACTTAAAAGTGGACTTAAATAAAGCTACAGGCAAAATATCAGTGTCTTGACTTCAGTAGAACCTGTTAAGCAATTAAAACAAATTTGACCCCTGTGACCTTGAAAGTCAAACTTGGACATTCAAAGTTGAACAAACTTGGTAGCCCTTCCTACCAGAATGCAACTTGCCAAATATCACCAAGAAGTTATTCAAAGATTTCAACATATTTGACCCCTGTGACCTTGAATATAGGCGAAGGTCATTCATTTGAACAAACTTGATAGCCCTTCATCCACGCATACTACTGGCCAAATATGAACACCCTAGGCCTCTTGGTCATTCAGAAGAAATTGTTTAAAAGTTTTCAACATATTTGACCACCTGTGACCATGAATATAGGCAAATGTCATTCATTTGAACAAACTTGGTAGTGCTTCATCCCAGCATGTTAATGGCCAAATATCATCATCCTGTGCCTTCTGGTTATTCAGAAGAAGTTGTTTAAACATTTGAACATATTTGACCCCTGTAACCTTGAAAATGGGCAAAGGACATTTATTTGAACAAACTTGGTAGCCCTTCCTTCCAGCATGCTACTGGGCGAATATCATTAGCCTGGGCCTCTTAGTTATTCAGAAGAAGTTGTTTAAGTAAAAAGTTGACGACGGACGACGCACAATGGCATAAGCTCACTTGGCCCTTCGGGCCAGGTGTGCTAAAAACAGGGACAAGATCCCCTCCCTCAGACCCCTCAAAAATCCAACCAAACAATGAATAAACACAGGGACAAGGTCCCCTCCCTCTGTCTCCTCACACAGGTCCAGGTAATCATCAAACTTAAATAGATATTTAACTAAATTCTTCAAACTTCATTTTTTTGGATATATATCCATTTATTGTTAGATACCAGTAAAACCAAACATTTGTACATGTATAACTATTTGTACAGCTAGGTAGACTATATAGAGCAACCACTGTGAAATTCAGATGGCAATTATTTTAACGTCCAGTTTTCCTTCATTAATCTGCTATGAAATACACTACAAGGTCAGCAACATGACCAGACTTTGATTTGTGTCCAGGATTG